ACCGGTAAGTCACATAGGCTATAGGTTCGAAACTCGGATCAACTTTTGGTTATGAACCAAAGGACAGTTGCTAACCAACGTAGAAAGTTAGTAACCATTCAAAGGAGCAAAGAATCAACAAGAGGAGTTAGTAACCATCGGAAAGACATCAAATCAAAACTACATAAACGATACTCTCCTGGTGCCTTGAAAAGAATATGTCTAATATAATTCCTTATAGTATATTGACACTTAAACACATGACTCTAAAAATAAAATAATAAAAAATCAATAACATTTTCTTATTAAATTAAACGATAACAGCATTCTTTAAATCCGCGTATATTACTTACCTCTTTTGTTAACTATCACTGGTGGATTTGTATACAAGTAAGCTATTAATATCCTCACAATAATTATAATGATTGTTGCAGCTGATGCTGAAATTCGGACCTATTTTGATACGAAAATTTAAATTTTTATGGAGGTGTTTTTGTCCGTGTTAGGTTAGGATTTAGCGTTAGAATTGATAATTAGAGAGTAAATGTGATTTTTAGCTTATCGAGACTCCAAAATTCAGTATCAGCCGTTTTCAGCATCAGCTGCGACAATATTAAAACTCCAAGCCCTAGAAAGTTTTTTGAAAATAATAGATGTTAGTGCCAGTGATGGAATGGATGAAAAAGTTCTATAGTACCTTCTAAATTCAATTGATCGCAGCTATGAAAAGAAAAACCAATTCTCAGTAGTGCCAATCCTGAAGGTTTCTTCAATCAAGCCCACCGTTGATGTAGTCTTAGTAGTCGAGGATTTCTATCGACTACGTCGATATTAAAAAAGTTGGCTTAACCGATTTAGTCAACTAAATAATAAAAAATCGGCCTATGTATGATTTTGACCAATAAGTTGATTAAAAAAATTCAGGATGCAGATAAATGATTAATAAAAATTTTGTTTACTTATAAGTCACTAAGATTAAAAATCCACTTAAAGGATTCTGAATGCACAGAATTTCGAAATCTACCTGCAACTTATGTTTTAAATTCTGAGATCTAAAAATAAATATAAACGATAAATAAATTTAGAATACGGTAGATTCTATTTTAATTGAAAGTCGACTAAGCTGATTTTCCAAAAAATTGACCTTACTTAGCTGACTAAGTCGACTAAACCGACTAACCTCTAATCAGCTTATAGCACTAGGTTGACGGCTACAGAAATCCTCGACATCTACTATAGCCCAGAATAATCAGCATTATATGAAGTTTTTGTTTGAGAATGAATCAGAAGACCTGATCAATGATTATCTGGAAATTTTGAAGTCCTAAATCTCGGAAAAAAAATACTAGCAATAAAATAATTAAAAATAACGCTAAAGAAAAGAAGAAAATATCAGGCTATAGGTATAAATAAGATAGCTTAACGGTCGAAATGGGTTATGTTACTAGTGTGTGTGTGTGTCGTTGGTTGTTGCAATCAAAATGGAAACAACGATGAAAAAGATGACCGCAAAGCACCCGTTCTCGAAGAAAGCTTTTGTAAAGACTGGTTAAAAGAGTCAAAAAAACTCAAAAGTGGTAGCATGAGGTGTAAAAAATCAATTAATGAAGGCCACAACAAATTAAGTAAGAAGGAAATACTTATCAAGACTAGAATCCTAATACCAAAGGGAAGACCGAAAGAGAGATCGTAGATAAATCCGAAGTATCCCACTTGTGTAACAAAACCTAAAGAAAGTCTGGTCAGCAGCGATAAAAGACAAGACAAACATAGAAGAAATGGTAAAAATAGCAAAAAATATATATTTATCTGCACATTGGATAGTATACCTTGGTCCGCCACGAAGAAACCATTTACACATTAGTAGACAGATAAAAATTCTTGTATTAAAAACATTATATACGTATACTATATGTTGCAAGGGTATTTAATCTGAAAGAAAATGTTGAAAAGAAAGAAACTCGATCTAAAGCTACTGTAATACTTTCTTGCTCCAGTGATTATAGTAAAAATTCTTGTTTGACGAAAAAAAGTAAGAAACCTAATCTGTGTTACAAATCATTTATATAGTAATTTTACTCATGATCATGTACCCATTTTGACACGTGACTCCTAAATTGTGCACCTAAAAGAGATTTGAATATACTACTCAATCTATTAATACAGTAATATGCTGGATAACATTCAAATTATGCTACGTATTCGATTACAATTCTATTTTTAAGTAGCATTACAGAACTTTGTTTCATAGTTAATCAAAGAATTGCACAACAATAAAGATTGCTAAAGAATATTTATATAAGAAAAAATTCAAGTGAGACTTAAGAGGTTTAAAATTAATAGATTTTTACAAACTCAGTAAAAATAAATCTCTACAGTTATTATAAAATAATATATTTTTAAATTGCTGTAAAAAAGAAATCGTTCCGAATATATTCACAATTTGTACTATCGTGTTGTTGTGGAGAACACCTTGCTTTACAATTGTGAATGAACGGAACTTCTGGTGACTGTGACACAATTGATATCGGATGAATTCTATCCCAAGAGTTGTTGCAAACATGACAATATATAGGGCATTCTAATAGATCATCATATTTCTTAAGATTCTCTAACCAATTCAAATAAACAAACACATAAATCTGATTATTGTTCCATGTATACTTAATAATTCCTCTGATAATGCCGAATTCAGATTGTTGCTTATCAGGTAAAAATGCTTCAACAATTTCGCCAACGCCAAATTTCACGTAATGATAGTCACCATTGGGTTCAGTTATAAGATATGATACATTTTGGTGGTAGCTAATCTTCGTGTTCAATAAAGCTTGTTCCAAAGAAAAATATGATGAATATACACTCATTATATTATTTAAAAGTCCATTAGTTCTAAGATCTGCGGAAATAAATCCTGCAGTTTCGATTTTATGCTTATTCCATTTCGATCCGAGCTTGATATCAGAACAGTTGAGGATCGAATAGTCGCCAATATCATTATGATTATCTAATAAATTTAATTCATTTTATTAAAAAAAAAAAAAAAAAAAAAAAAAAAAAAAAAAAATACAATATAACATTACCTTGATTACATTCTTTCACTTCATTTATTGAAAAGCTACTGTCATCAATGCACCAACCTGACAATAAATAACATAACCTTGGTTCATTAATTAACTCTTTAAACATTGATTGTGCTGTCATATTGTTAATTCGTTCATCTGTCCCACCATCTACTAAATATCTTAATGTTTGTAAAGTATTAATTTGTCGAAGTAATGTAAGCTCTAGATCTCGTTTGTTCGTATGTGGTACAATCGATTTAAAGATTCGGTGCACCATTTCCTTGATACCAACAGCCGTATTGATGCATGTTGAATATCGGCGAGCATGATCTACTAGATGTCGATTAATATGGAGGTTTGGAAGATTTCGAAAACTATCCGGAAATAGCTATAAATTAAATTATATATAGTTAAATAATAAACTTAATTAAAATTAAACAATTTTACTAGATCGCACAAGTGGTGTTCAACACCACATACATCTTTTAATAATTTTGCTAGTAAATTTTAGGGTTAGGGACCTATCTATAGTAAAGATATAAGTTTAAATTTTAGTTAGAGTGTGATTTGGGAGACGTTAAACATTTACTTATATCTATTTGGCTAATTTTTGTGATATAGCGACTGTGGTGTTGAACACCACTGGTGCAATTTAGTGGAACCGAAATTCAATTAAGGTAAAAAAGAATTTACATTAATTAATATGTTAAGTTCTTTATCCAGTGCCTTTTGAAGTTGAGCATATCCATCCTGTCTATTAATAGTTAATGAAAAAATCTTTTTACTGACTCGTGCAGAAAGCCCCCAAGCTCGAATCAGATAAGTTATAACATCAGTTTGACGAGAAAGGTTTAATCGAATTTTAGTTTCTTTTAAAAAGTTACGTTTTACATCATTAATTTTTAAGAACCGTTTCAATATAAAAGGAAATATCATCAAAATTCGTAAGATATCAGACATCATAAATGAATGTCTATGCGAAATTGGATTTGGCAAACGTGACCATCTTGATGGAACTTCGAAATGTTTCCATTGTTTTATTAAATTACTTTCCCCTTGCGATGTTAAAATAAAGCAGGTGCAATCAAGAAATCGGGCTATTTTTCCTGCGATAGCATGGTATGCGTCTTGTGGAGTGTGTTGATGGCGGTCATGAAGAATAAGATCAAGAGGTCCCGGTAATAATCGCAACCCATATTGTGAACAAAATTGTGATCGTGCTGCATTTGTCAATTGTTCACTTATATTTTGAAATTCTTTATTGGTTATTTGATGGTATCTACCATTGGAATAAATGTCGAATGAAATATCTGTTAATCTATCTTTAGAAGCTTTACAACTTCTACATCCTAAATTAGCATTATGACGTAAAACTCCTGCAATGTCGTTTCCTTGCGGCAAGTCTGCCGTAACCATAGCCAGTCCACCTGAAATCCAGCAATCAACACCATTTATATTCATTATGAATCCTTGTTCTAGTTGATGAATCTCATTAATAAAACTTTTTATAAAGTCCTTAAGACTTCCACCAAATGGTACCAATCCGATTATGTAATGATTTCTTAATTGTTTTCTTAATCGTCGCGACATGTTTCCTATTTGTAAATAAACACCACCCAAAGAATGGTAGGTGTTGCGAAAGGTACCGAAATCATCATAATATAGATCCAAATAAAATTTGAAACTTGGCATATTTGGATTTGCTTGTAATTTGATAGGTATATACTCAGCAGGATGCCGATGACGTAATTTTACTGAACGAAGCTTCCATCAATTATTATAATTATATAATATTTGACTTACAAAGAAATCAAATATGGGTGGAGCAGGCTGATCTTGTAGCCAAATATTAAGGTGACAGATTAATGACGAAGGATCAATAATAAAATAATTAGATTCTTCAACTAAATATCGTTCTTGTGGTGAGTGTGAAACATGTCGTTTAGAGCTTAGATACTGTAAAATTTGTTCATAAGAAAATAATCGTTGAATCCGAACGGCCATTCTTTTATCTACAATTATGAAAGATCGAACTCGACCAATTTCACTAGTTCCTGAATCTGATTGGTAGCGAACAAAGTCTCCACAATTAAATGAACCTAATAGTATAATTTATTAAATAAAAAACTTGCAGAAATAATATTGTAATTAATAGAATTTATATATATACCTTGCATCGTAATTAAATTTGGCTGGCCGAAAAGAGGAGATTCGGCCCAAAGATCGCCTTCCCATAATTCTTCACATGATTCTGAAAAAATACCCGGACCGAAATATAATTGGGAGCTAAGAGACGGATTCTTTAATATTCTTTGAAGATGTTCAATTAAGGAAAAGTAGTAAACACGAGTGGAATCCTTAATATTCGATGGAGTATTTCTGACATTTATTGGAACCACGTGACTGTGAATCTTCATTAATGGTAATAGTTCGCGTTGCTTTTTAAGACTTTGTAAAGTAGTAATTAAATAGCTTTTTTCGAATTTAGGATGAAGCAATATTTGTACCAAATCTTGGTAAGCCGCGGTTGCTAAAAAAAAAAGGTAAAATCTTTAAGTTTAATAATATATAACAAATTCAAATTGCAATACTTACTGATCAAATGTCTAGTGACCCATGTAAATATAGCCATGTTTGTAAAGTTTTCAAAGGGTCCAAATGAGCATTCTTCGTCCCAGCTTAAGTCAATTCTTGTTCCATCGAATATCTTTTGTGAGTTATCTATATTAGTTGAGGTTGATTCACACTCACCATCTAAGCTACTATCTATATCAGTATTAAATACATCTTCACTACATATATTTTCTAAATTATTATAACCTAAGTCATCAAATTCTCGATTTATATTTTCTGAACTATTATCATCATAACCTAAGTCATCAAATTCTCGATTTATATTTTCTGAACTATTATCATCATAATCTAAGTCAGCAAATTCGCGATTTACATTTTCTGAACTATTATCGTCATAACCTAAGTCAGCAAATTCTCGATTTATATTTTCTGAACTATTATCATCATAATCTAAGTCGTCAAATTCTTGGTTAAGTTTCAAACCTATATTATGTCTACCAGAGCATTGATCATTACTACTATAAATTTGGTTAAAACTGGACTGTGAATTATTACTATTAAGTTGCTGGTCATTATAATTTAAGCTGTTGCTATCTCGCAGGTTCATATAATTCAAATTATTATGATCCAAGTCATTATGTAAATTAAAAGCATTGTGATCATTTAAATAGGTTTTCTTGGCACGTATATTGTATGGTTGTTGCGGCGTGCTTTTTCTAAACCTGTTTCTAAGAGCAAACATTACTTCTGACATAAGGAGGAACCGGAATGAAAAACCTAATATGGAAAAAATTTTAGAAATCAAGATTTGAAAGCAAACCAGTACCAGGGTACACACGTAAATTTTTCCGTAAATACATATTAGGAAAATTTGGATATATATAGTAAGTAGACACTAGGAATGTTAAACAGCTCGGTTTAGTCGGGTTCAAGCTTTTTTAAGTCGACTCCAATTTTATTTCAATAACCACATGATACTTGAATAGAAAACTTATGTACACATCGAATTGCATCAAACTAATAACACCTGTCTTAGACATTCCAAATCTGAAACTAATTCGACTTCAAAAGTCGAGTAAGTTGGGACCGAACGTTTAACAACCCAGGGTTTAGAATAATAGTTATTGTTACCTTGCTTTCCAGTATCGCACTTCTTAAAAAATATTCAAATATTTGAATTTTTTTTTTGTTGGATGTATGAAAGAGAAAAAGAATTGAAAAAATTTGATTTCTTATACGTTTGATTGCTAGATAATACATGAACAAATCACATGATAATACATTGTACTCTTTATATATCAAACAATAGACGTATGAGTATGTAATTCAAATTACGTTATATCAACGTTATATTTAAATATAGATACAATAATTTGGTCTTTTTTATTGTTTTCGCTTAGAATTGAAATGCTACCAAAAAGATCATTAACCCGTATGTATTGATCTCAGTTTTACGATTGTCGACTCAGTTTAATTTAGTTTTTTTATTGTAGACAAACCAGTGACAAGAAGTACGAAGAAAAAAAAAAACAGTACACAAATAGAATCAGATATATCTGAGGCTTTAGACGACTCTTCAAAACCTAAAAAGCCACAAAAACCACGCCAAGCAAAGGGCAAAGGTAATTAGTGATTTTTAGTCATCTTAAATAGTTTTTCAATAAATGTTTTTTTTTTTACAATATATATATATATTCATATTTCAAAAAAAGAAAATTCTGAATCGAATTTGAAAACATCGTCAAGATCGCTAACTACATCAAACCAATCAGAAGAACATTTACAATCTGAAAAATATACTGAAGATTACCAAAGTAGACCCCTACAGAGCAATCTGATATCGAAGATCAGCAAATTCAAAATCATTCATCCTTCGTATCTAATCAATATCAACATAACGTATCATCCTTCGCCGCTAAGCAGTATCAACATAATGTACCACCACAAATAAATATAAGATCTACCGTTTCAAGTATTCAATCAAATGAGCCTGAAATCGATTCTTTTCTTCGACGTCCTAACAGTTACAGTGAATATCTGTCTAACCACGAAGATAATTCTTCAGAAAATGAATCATCAGAGGATGAACTTTTTTCATCACTTAACCAGACTCCTTTAAATGTTTCAAATACTAATTATGTTAACCCCTATTCAACGATTCAACAAAACAAAGTTTATACAACAATTCCGGCTACAAATAATGAAATTTCTTTTCAAGATGAAGCACATCTTCTTCGGTGGTTAGAAACGCGCAAAGATCTGGTCCTACATGCATTGAATGCAATTTGTTCAACACCGCCTATTATATCAAGCCAGGTTAGTTACGGTTTTAACTAGGATGATCATGAAATACGTTGGTTGTTAATATGCTTTATAGTAAATTCACCATATCTATATTGAAAGGAAATTTATACGTATATGTACTAGCTTTGATTATGTAACATATTTGCTAAAATCTATAACTGTTAATTACAACATTTATGACAAATAGAGTTCTTCGAATAACTCACCTAACATGGCTAAAATACTTACTGAACAGTCACGGATTTTATTTCTACGAACAAGAATGCCAACAAAAAGATCCCGCACTTCATTAATTAACCGTATCACTCCTAATATAGTTAGGACGCACTCTAATTGGAACGAAATATCAAATAAATTGCGACAAGTATTTGAAAATTTTCGTACAACATATAATAATGATATAGCAAAATTGGCAAGCCAATTGATTCGGAAAAGAGGGTAAGTTTTTTTTGGTTATTTTTATACTTTAATTCAATATGTCTAATGATGGTAAATGTGAGTATTAATATTTTTAAATGATAGTAATCCATCAGATCATGATATCAAAAAGTTCATTTCCGGATCTGTATGGGAAAGGCCTCTTAAAAAGCATATCGATGCACTTGATTATGATATATTTAAGAATCGTCAATCTGAAGCAAAATCATTGGAAAATTTTATTGCTGCAAGTCTCAAAATACATGTAGAATTCTTAATAGCCGAATCTAAAGGAGAAGATCCAGATTATAATTCTATGGTTCTAAATCGTATTAAAGAATTGGATAATATTACTATTAATTTCCAATTTTCAGCCGCAAGCCATCTTCAATATGCTAATCAACTGGAACTTAAAGAAGAACGGGGAAGATTAAAAAAATGAAATATTACTTATTATGCAAATGAGAATAACGCTGATCTAAAAAAAAAAAAAAAAAAAAAAAAAAAAAAATATATATATATATATATAGTATATATATATCGTGCTATATTGATGTAATGCCATGCTACAATGTCGTTGTTTCATAATGCATTAATTGCATATTACCATATTGAATATAAGCTCATTAAATTATAGAAAGACAAGTGCATTTATGTTGTCTCGATAACCTGATAAAGTTTCACTATTTTGAGCCGATGTTTTACTGGAAATGCGCAGTTCACTAATCAACAAAGTTGTTTCTAATTTGATATGTGAGTTTGATTGAATATATTTAGACGTGTATAAATGAGTTCGTGAAATGTGTAAGTAATAATTTGGCTTGTCACTTATATGAACAAAAAGACAAGTTACTTGCTAAACAATGTGCGTATTAAGGATTGGAGCTATATATAGCATAAAGATTATTTCAGCACTTCTAAAAGTATTTCGGAATAGGGAGAACCGTCAATGTTGCACAACAAATCTAACAAGTGAAGGGTCATATCTATAACATTGATGGTAGAATGATCCAATATTGCAAAATAATTTTTTTATGAGATGAGAGATTAGTTTTAAACATTAACGGTCCCTCCTGCTGTATTGCAGTATTGGTTATTAACATCGAGTCATTGAAAATAAAGTATGTTTGACGAATTTGATTCACGGCTGTTTCATAATTTTAAAGGCAATCAGCAAAATCGGCTGATTTCAGTAACTTGTTAATTTTGTTCTGCAACTTATTGATTCGATGGTTAGGATATTCAAGAATTCATGAAAATTGCGAGTGTACCAGCATATTCATTTACACAAAATAATCATCACAAACCATGAGAATAGTATCAATCGTGAAATGTTGCCCGACAGTCGATCATCCTGAAATCGAATCTTTAAAAAAAGATCGTTCGTATGTACCACTTGTCCTTTTCTTTAGCACATTGTATACAAAAAATTTGGCTTAATAACATTTGATTTTCAAGGCTCTTGGCACTTGCAAAATCATCGTTACTCATACTACTCGTGCTATTCAATACAGCAAGCTCATTGCAATAAACTTACTGTATAAAACGAAACTTTTCCATTCAACCAACAATATCAATTTATAATCGAATCTATCAAGGGCACATGACAGATATAAAGCGTAGCACAAATACTATGCCATTATTTATAGTGGTTAAAATAGTGGTTAAATTATAACGATGTGGTTAAATTATAATATATAGTTAAATTATAGTGGTTAAAGGATATACAACAATATAAAAAAATTGCAGATGTACAATTCTTTTCACCTTACCTTTGTAAAACTTAGTTTTTGTAGAGATTGGACCTGGTAGAAATTGTTACTATACGCTTACCCGAAATATATAATAACTTACCCGGATAAACTGGATAATTTAATAATATCCGGGTAGAGATTTTCTTAACGGGTCCAATCTCTAAGTTTTTGGTACATTTTATTTCAATAAAATTTTTTTAGTATGCATATATGTAGTAGCACACTAAATAAATTTGCATAAACGATTTAACTATGATCATGTTAAAACTATCTTATTTGTATTACCGGCGAAGCAAAACTAAAAATAAAAACTCGAAAAATACAAAAATCGATATATAACAGATGTTTGTTTAAGTATTTAACAATTATATAGAGAATATTGATCTGTTTTATACAGGTATGATTTTGTTAATAATGTTTAGTTGAATAATAGAATTGATATTTGTGCTTTAATATATAAATCACAATATCATTTTGTATATATATTATTATATAGAATAGTTAGTGGTATAAAATTTTAACAAGTATAATATGGATTTTAAATGCGAAATATAGTGCTAATAAATTGATATCTTGATAATAATATTGCAATACTAGCGCTTTAAAAAAAGCTTGAAGTTTTGCTTTTATATGTCATATATTTTAATAATATCGTTACAATAATATTACAATACTAT